CCCATAATATATTTATAGCTACACATAGGAGTAAAGGTTCATTAACATACTTGCTCCGCTAGCTGGAATTCTGTAATAACTTGTCACATACATTTATTTGTTTTACTCTTGTAATATATATACTTGCTTTTCTAGCAAGACTTTTATGTATTTTTATATGTATATATTCGTTTTTACTAACAGCAGTTTTGCAGCAATTGGTAATAAAGAAATTCTCAAAAGCCAGACCTTGTTGTGCTGCAGAATCCCAAGAATATGAGGTCTTCCAGAGAGACCAGATCTTCACCAGGGACACCTGGCTGACTCCAGACTTGGAGACATGGATCACTTTGAAGTGAGACTTTTCTGTCACTGACTGGTCCCAGTCCTGGGAGCAGTGTGGTGAATGTCACGCTGGTGGCAACTCCCATAATATATTTATAGCTACACATAGGAGTAAAGGTTCATTAACATACTTGCTCCGCTAGCTGGAATTCTGTAATAACTTGTCATATACATTTATTTGTTTTACTCTTGTAATACATATACTTGCTTTCCTAGCAAGACTTTTATGTATTTTTATATGTATATATTCGTTTTTACTAACAGTAATTTTGGAGCAATTGGTAACAAAGAAATTCTCAAAACCCAGACCTCGTTGTGCTGCAGAATCCTGAGAACCCCACGGTCATGATCTTTACCCACATGCCAGTTGGGTCACCCACACAAGTCGTGACCATGACCTCTACACCTGCACATCCCAACTTGTGTAATGAGTCTTGGCTCATTACTGCTGAAGGACACAAGTCACTTTCCTTTTTCAGTTTAAGCCAAACACTGAGCTAAATTCATAGAATCACAGAATAGTTTGGGTTGGAAGGGACCTTAAAGATCATCAAGTCCCAACTCCATGCCATGAGCAGGGACACCACCCACCAGACCAGGTTGCTCCAAGCCCCCTCCAACCTGGCCTTGAACCCCTCCAGGGATGGGGCAGCCACAGCTTCTCTGGAGCTGTTATATCCCTGTTTGGGGTGAGACAGTATCTTTTGCAATCTCTTGGTTTGATGGATTTAAAACACTCTTCCATAGTAAGACAAGGTGATCGCTGCTAAGTTGAAAAACCCAGATGCTGGATTGTATTTTAAATTACCTCTGGGTAATGCAGATATCTAGGCTGCAGGAGCTTCTGTAATGCTTTTCATCTCGATATCAGAGACTCACAGTATTTATTTAGATCACTTTAAGGAGTTCAGGCAATGCAGGGAAGCCCTGGCATTCTCTCAGGAGAGCTACCACTCTGCACGGAGGACAGGCAACCTTACACGGGCAGCTCTGCTTGAGCTCTGCCAACACAGATTTAATCTCAAAATGGTATCTGAATGCAGCTGGTTGCTTGGGAAGAAACCATTATTAGTTTTCTCACAGGTAGGGAAGGTTCTGTTCCTACACCATGTTAAAAAAAAAGACAACCATGTCATAAGGCAATTCAGCAAACCTGGTTGTTTATGTTAAAAAAAAAAACCAACTGCGTCATAAGGCAATTCAGCAAACCTGGTTGTTTCAAACCACGCCCCAAATTCCTACCCAGAGAAGGCAGCCCCAACAAGACCCTAATTATGTAGAGAGCAAGGGAGCTGGACTTGTTTAGTCTCGGGGAGAAAAGCTGGGGAGATCCAACTGCAGCCCACAACTCCCTGATGGAGAGTCACAGAGATGACGGAGCCTTTCTTCTGACACCAGCAGATGGAAAAAATAAGGGGGAACACCTCAAGGTGCACCTTGGGAGGTTCAGACTGGACAGGAGGATGAAATTTTTCCCCTGGAGAATGATGCAGCCTTAGGCCAGGTCACAGAGAGGTAGGAATCTCCATCCTTGCCTGGGCAAAGCCACAGCTGCCCCACTCTTGTTGGTGAAAGTCTACTCAGAGTAGGAGTTCTACACCAGAGAAAACTACCAGGTGACATCTCATTGACTTTATAACCTCCTTCCTGTTACTTTCAGCTGCTCATGTAATCAGGGATGTGGTTATTACAGGTTTATTCATTGCACAGGCAGTTGTTGCTGCCTTTCATCTCAGCAGATGCTCCCCAAAGCCCCGTCCTGCCAGAGCCCCCCTCTTCTATCATCTTACGCAGCGATGCACGTGTTGTGGATCCACTCAGCTGCAGGTGCCTGCATTGACTTTTCCCAAATCTAGCACCAGCGCAGGCATTTGAGCACTTTTGACAAATAAAGAAAACCCTTTCTTTGCAAAACCAGCCAGCCAAGTGATTCTCCACACCAGGGCAGTAGCTCCATGGCCTAAGAGAGTCAGACTTGACGTGCTTTGACCTTGTGGGAGAGCTGTAGACTCGTGCACAGCAAATTAAAAACCCTGCCAATGAGAGGTTTGCCTTCCCTAGGTTACACTTCATGGATCCCTTGCATGTAGCCCACAGAAGCCACGTTGAAACTCACACCTGAAACCCAGCCAACCACACAGCACCTGCAGAGACACATCCAGCCCTCCCAAGAAACATCAGCCTGCCTCCACGCGAGCTGGAGTTCATTTGCTGCCTCCCAAGACCTTGAAAATCAATGTTGGGGATGTCCTGGATCTAAAGCCCACGTGCCACCAAGGCGACTGCGCTCGCTGCAGTGACACCTGGGGTCTCCTGACACACAAGCAGCCTCGTGAGAGCAACAGCAACGCTTCACATATTACAACCAACCTCCCCAAGCCAGAGCTTCCCCATTTGGGAGACAAAAAAGCCTCAACTTTGTGGCTGGAGAACGCATGAAATCCCGTGTTCCTCCAGACTGCTGGTTACTTAATCCTTTGCCCTTGAGCAAGCCTGAAAACCTCCCAAAGAGGGATATATCCTTCCTTACGCTTGTTCCGTTGAGTTTCTTTTGCTCTTACTACAGATGCTCTCCTTTCAGCATTATCTTTCTTTCCCCTGGTCTACTTGTTGTGCTCAACAGGGCAACAGAGCTTGAACCATGAGCTCCCTATGGACCCTTTGACTGCGGAAATTACCAAGACACGCTTAAGAGTTTCAAATAAAAACAGAACCAAAGCCAAGTACTCAAATCCCCACGCACACTGACTCCAAACACCCCATCAGAACCAGCGGGTAGTTATTTCATCATCAACCCACTCCCCCCCAAAAAAGCCAAACTGTGCAAAAATAGCATTTACCCAAAATAATAAAAATTTCCCTTTCTTGTCTCAAAGCGATTCGAACCAAGAATAATCAGTTGGTTACTTTAGCAGGTGCCAGAGTGACCAACATATATATTTCATGTAATAAACCCAGCCCATTTCACCAAAGCTGTAATCCCATACTTCAGTGGGTGGCTACAGTGACCTACGCAAGCCCTTGCCCCGATGTTTCTTCTCTTCCCCTCTGGCACAGCTGGGGTTATGTAATTACGAAAATCAGGAAACTGCAGCAGAAAATAAAGTAAAAGAGGCTATTTTTAATCCAGGTTCAGCGATCTGGATTGCTGCACGGCTTCACGAAGAGTGACACTAACACAGCTTGAAGTCGGGCAGGATGTGGATGTTAGAAGGTATTAGAGGTGAGTATCTGGGAATGGGGAACATTCTGCTACCACCAAGAATGCTGGGTTTAAGAGGAACACTAAAAATAGACCAAACTAGTACGTAAAACCAGTTTCAGAGCTGGGTAATACAGTCTCTGGTCCCAGGTGAGTACTTACACTTCTTACTTACACTAGGGAATTCTCCAACAAAATGACTTTTCAGCTGGAAAACTGCAATTTCTGTGAAATCAGACATTTTCGTGACTACACACTATATCTAACAAGTTCGTTCAAGTGCACACCTGTAACTTCCAGACTCAACCATAGGATAGATAGTGCCAGTACAGCCCTGTGACTACCTCCCTTTTCTCTACCAGCCTTTTATAAGTACCTTAACGAGATCTATCAAGCAGCACTAAGAAAAATGCACTTTGACTAAATGCTTGGGGTAAAAGCATGAGGTTGAGCTTCTGACTTGAATCCCCCCACAAAGCAGAGCTTTACCCAGTGCCTCCTGCATCCATGAGGAGCAGCAAATCACTGGGATACTGATTATTCTGGGCAAGGCAGCTTTTCTTCCACATTAAAAAAAAAACAAAACAAAACAAAACACAAAACTTTGTTCCCATGGAGTAAGGAACATGGTTTACAACTATTTGTGTGCTACCTGCTCTAGGTCGACCCGCCTTGGTGGGGGGGTTGGACTAGATGATCTCCAGAGGTCCCTTCCAACCCCATATCATTCTGTGATTCCATCATCCACGCTCCTGCTTGCTTCATCTATTCCATATTATCCCCCCACTTCAGGAGAGCGGACCTACAGCTCAGCAAGCCCTGCTCCTGTCCAAACCTCTGCAGAACAATTTGAGGACAACCTCAAGTTGAAGAAGAAACCAGAGAAGAAACACATTTATTTTTTTTTCCCCTTTTCTAAGGCCAATTTCCAGCCCCACAGGGCCAAGGGGGGAGCAAAAGATGCCTTCCAGCCTCCAGCTCCCTTTGCCTGTCCCAGGACGGGAACAACCTGCAGCCTGATCTGCTTGTACTTCCATATCCTCCTCCTGAAGGGCACCTCCATGGACCAGCAGGGCTCCCCAAGGGCAGACCGAAGGTGTTTGTGCATCCACCAAACCAAACCCAAAAAAGGACCGCAGCTTTCCCAGCAGCACAGGGCCGGCTACTGGCGCAAAGAGGAGCTCGGAAAAGCCAACGTGTCACCAGCGAGCCAGTCAAAATTAAACAAGAATCATTTTTTTTTTTTAAAAAAGAGGCGCTTTCTAGGTATCGAAAGCCTCAAGGTGCCTCCAGCCCTATTCCGGGGGCTGCTCCCACTCCCCCGGCGAGGAGAGTCCCCACCGGGCAGGGTAGTCCCGGTTTTGGGGGCAAAGCCGGTTTTGGCCTCTCCTCCGTAGGCGGAGGGTGGGATGGAACCGGCCGCCCTCCCCCGTGGCTCGGTTCCCCGCCCGCTCTCCCCCCCGGCCCCGCTCACCCGTGTCCGCTCCGCCGGTCTCTTCTTTCCGCCGTTCCCCCATGGCCGAGCCTCCTTTCCTCCGCCGTTTCCCCCGCCGCACCGGCCCTCACACCGCCCGCATGCCGCCCGGCCCGGCCCGGCCCTCGGCGCGGCTCCTCTCCCGGTGGGGGGGCCCCGGGGAGGGCGCGGCGCTACCGGGCCGGGCGGGCCGGCGGGCTGAGGAGGAGAGGCGGAACGGGCCGAGTGCGGGCCGCCGCCATCCGCCGGCCCCAGGAAGTGAAAATGGGGGCCGCTGGAGGGACGGAGGCGGGGGGGGGGGGGCCAGCCTCCAGCTCCCTTTGCCTGTCCCAGGACGGGAACAACCTGCAGCCTGATCTGCTTGTACTTCCATATCCTCCTCCTGAAGGGCACCTCCATGGACCAGCAGGGCTCCCCAAGGGCAGACCGAAGGTGTTTGTGCATCCACCAAACCAAACCCAAAAAAGGACCGCAGCTTTCCCAGCAGCACAGGGCCGGCTACTGGCGCAAAGAGGAGCTCGGAAAAGCCAACGTGTCACCAGCGAGCCAGTCAAAATTAAACAAGAATCATTTTTTTTTTTTAAAAAAGAGGCGCTTTCTAGGTATCGAAAGCCTCAAGGTGCCTCCAGCCCTATTCCGGGGGCTGCTCCCACTCCCCCGGCGAGGAGAGTCCCCACCGGGCAGGGTAGTCCCGGTTTTGGGGGCAAAGCCGGTTTTGGCCTCTCCTCCGTAGGCGGAGGGTGGGATGGAACCGGCCGCCCTCCCCCGTGGCTCGGTTCCCCGCCCGCTCTCCCCCCCGGCCCCGCTCACCCGTGTCCGCTCCGCCGGTCTCTTCTTTCCGCCGTTCCCCCATGGCCGAGCCTCCTTTCCTCCGCCGTTTCCCCCGCCGCACCGGCCCTCACACCGCCCGCATGCCGCCCGGCCCGGCCCGGCCCTCGGCGCGGCTCCTCTCCCGGTGGGGGGGCCCCGGGGAGGGCGCGGCGCTACCGGGCCGGGCGGGCCGGCGGGCTGAGGAGGAGAGGCGGAACGGGCCGAGTGCGGGCCGCCGCCATCCGCCGGCCCCAGGAAGTGAAAATGGGGGCCGCTGGAGGGACGGAGGCGGGCGGAGAGGGCAGGGCAGGGCCGGGAGTCGTAGCTGGGAGGGAGAGAAGGAGAGAAGGAGGAGGGGGGGTAAAAAAACAGAAAGTGAAAACTGAACCGGAAAGAGAGCTCGGCCGCGCCCGCCGCTTTCCTCTTCCCGCGGGTCACCGCCGCCCCGGCACCGGCCCTGCCTGCCCTGCCCTCCCCTCGGCGCCATTTCCCTCATCCCGCACCCTCCTGAGCCTCCGGTCTTCGCCTCAGTCCTTCCCTCGGCCCCTCAGTGTCTCGTTTTGGACCTTCCCCTCAGTCCCTCAACCCTTTTTTTCATCCCCTCGCCTCATGCCCTGGGGCTACCTCCCCAACCTCGGTCTTTCTCCCTCGGTTTGGACCTTTCCTCATCATCTCGGCCCCTTTTTCTCATCTCTGTGGTCTTCACCTCCTGCCCTGGGCCCCGTCCCTCACCTCAGTCCTTCCCCTGGTCACTCAGTGCCTTGTTTTGGACTTTTCCTCAGTCTGGGTGTCGGCCTTCGCCTCAGTCCTTCCCCCGGCCCCTCAGTGTCTCGTTTTGGACCTTCCCCTCAGTCCCTCAACCCTTTTTTTCATCCCCTCGCCTCATGCCCTGGGGCTACCTCCCCAACCTCGGTCTTTCTCCCTCGGTTTGGACCTTTCCTCATCATCTCGGCCCCTTTTTCTCATCTCTGTGGTCTTCACCTCCTGCCCTGGGCCCCGTCCCTCACCTCAGTCCTTCCCCTGGTCACTCAGTGCCTTGTTTTGGACTTTTCCTCAGTTCCTCAGCCTGTCTTCATCCCTTCAACCCTTGTCTTCGTCCCCTCAGTCCCTTTCCTCATCCCCTCAGCCCTTATCCTCATCCCCTCAAACCCTTTCCTCATCCCCTCAGCCCTTTTCCTCATTCCCTCACATCATGCCCTGGGCCCCCTCCTTCACCTCAATCCTTAGAGAATCACCGAATTTTCTAGGTTTCCTCTGCCTGTCCTCATCCCTTCAACCCCTGTCCTCATCCCTTCAACCCCTGTCCTCGTCCCCTCAAACCCTTTCCTCATCCCCTCAGCCCTTTTCCTCATTCCCTCACATCATGCCCTGGGCCCCCTCCTTCACCTCAATCCTTAGAGAATCACCGAATTTTCTAGGTTGGAAGGGATCTTTGAGATCACCTTGTCCAACCATCAACCTAGCTCTGATAAAAAGAAAACCATCGCTAAACCATGTCACTAAGCACTATGTCAACCCGTCTTTTGACCTTCTCCTTCAAACCCTTGTTTTGGACCTTCCCTCAGTGTCTCCTCAGCCCTTTCCTTGATCCCCTGAGGGCCTTCTCTCAGTCCCTTTCTTCAGCCATTCTCTCAGCCCCTTCCCTCATCCCGTGAGTCTTCACCTCCTGCCCTGCACCTCAGTCCCTTCCCTAATCACTTCAGTCTCTTGGCGCCTGTTTTCGGCTCAGCCCTCAGCCCTTTTCCTCATCCCTGAAGTCTTCAGCTCCTGCCCTGGGATCCTTCCCTTATCTCAGTCCTTCCCCCAGCCCCTCAATGTCTTGTTTTGGACCCTCCCTCAGTCCCTCAACCCTTTTCTTCATCCCCTCACCTCATGCTCTGGGCCACCTCCTTCATCTCAGTCCTTCTCCCTCAGCCCCTTGTTTCGGACCTTCCCTCAGTGTTCCCTCAGCTCTTTCCTTCAGCCCCTCAGCCCCTCTCTTTGGCCCATCTCTCAACCCCTTCCCTCTCAGTCTTCACCTCGTCCCTTTGGTCCCTTCCCACACCTTAGACATTCTCCCTCAGTGCTTTCCCTCAGCCCCTTGTTTTGGACCTTCCCTCAGTTCCCCCTCAACCTCCTCCTTGGCCCCCTCAGGCCCTTCCTTTGGCTCTTCCCTCAGCCCCTTCCCTCAAGACTTTCCCCCATCTTTCTTTTTTCTTTTCCCCCATCTTCCCTCATCCCAGTCCCTTCCTGTGGCCTTTACCTCAACACCTCCCTTCATCCCATGGTCCCATCCCTGTCATAGCATCATAGAATGGTTTAGGTTGGAAGGGACCATTCAGAACTGGATCATTCAGTTCCAAATCCCCTGCCCTGGGCAGGGACACCTCCCACCAGACCAGGTTGCTCAAAGCCCTGGTGAGTCTTGGCCTTGAACCTGGCCTTGAACCTCTCCAGGGATGGGGCAGCCACAGCTTCTCTGGGCAACCTGGGCCAGGCTCTCACCACCCTAACAGCAAATAATTTCTTCCCAATATCTCATCTAAATTTCCCCTCTTTTAGTTAAAAAATGTTCCCTCTCATCCTTTTGATGGCTCTGAGTTGCCTCGTCGCAGTATGGTTGGACCCTTTGTGGAACAGTAGGAGTGGATGATTGTTTTTAGAGTTCACCAGGCTCAGCAGCCTCTCAGGAACATTGCGAATGCAGCAAATATGGAACAGGCTGCCCAGGGCACTGGTGGAGTAACTGTCCCTGGAGGTATTTAAAAGAAGGGTAGACATGGTGCTGAAGAACACGGTCTAGTGATCGTTTTTGTCAGGGTTAGGTTGATGGTTGGACTCGGTGATCTGAAAGGTCCCTTTCAAGCTGAACAATTCTATGATTCTATGAAATAGTCAATGTTGCAATAGACATTGGAGCAGGGAACAGGGTGATCTGGGCTTGCCCAACCTCTTGTGCAAGGGGTTGTATGAACATAGTGTGCCAGGTTATGGGTCAACGGTTGTGTTGGATGTGCGTTCGACTGTGCCAGGCAATGAGTCTGGTGGGTGCTTGGAGTGGAGCCCATCTGCGACTTCAGGCACTTTTGGCAATAAGATCTGAGGTGCCTGTGTCCACACAACAGTGCACATCGTGGACACAGCATGTAGGCACATCCTGGCACGTGGGTCTTTTTAGTCTGGAGAAGAGAAGACTGAGGGGGGATCTGATCAACACCTATAAATACTTAAAGGATGGGTGTCAAGAGGATGTGGCCAGTCTTTTTTCAGTGGTGCCGAGTGACAGGACAAGAGGAAATGGGCACAAACTTGAACATGGGAAGTTCCATCTAACCACAAGGAGGAACTTCTTTCGTTTGAGGGTGGCAGAGCCCTGGAAGAGGCTGCCCAGGGAGGTGGTCAAATCTCCGTCTCTGGAGACATTCAAAACCCACCTGGACACATTCCTGTGCAACCTGCCCTAGGTGGACCTGCTTTGGCAGGGGTGTTGGACTAGATGATCTCCAGAGGTCCCTTCCAACCCCATATCGTTCTGTGATTCTGTGACATGCTGTCCGGTCCCCTGGCTTAGAATATAAATTTAGGGAGAGGCCACTTCCCGATCCTTGCTGGTGTTTGCACAGCCCCTTTGGGTCTCTCTGTGTTCAGTTCCCCAGCACCCAGGCCCTGCATTAGCTCTGCTGATGTGGATGGATGTATTTTGATGTGCTGGGGTAGTCATAGCCTCAGCAGGAAAGACTGGCAAACGAAGGAAAAAAGGAGAAAGAACAATGAGACAACGATGTGACAGCTCACTTATAAGTCACTTATTACTCAAAGCCATGCTGCAGGTCAGTAACACACCGTTACAGATATTCCACCCATTCTAAGAATTTGCTATCGCAGCAGCAGAGAGTGCAAAGTGCTACCATCCAGTGAAAAACTGAAGGTACGAGGAAGAATAAGTGATTTTTCTGGTGTCCTACTGTCAGTAAGGGCAACGTCAGTAGTGGTCTCGTGCTCTGACCACGTAGCAGTGTCTCTCTGATTTGCCTGATTTTTCTGGCTCCCGCTGACACATCAAAGACCGGAGTTCTTGCTGGTGTTGCTGGTCTTCAACACAACTAGCCTAGGAGTAAGAATAAAGGCATTCCGTGTTTCCATGCCATAGAACTTGGGTGAGGTGAGATGGAAATATCTTTGCAGGTTCAGTGTCACATAATCACAGAACGATATGGGGTTGGAAGGGACCTCTGGAGATCATCTAGTCCAACCCCCTGCCAAAGCAGGGTCACCCAGAGCAGGTTGCACAGGTACATGTCCAGGCGGGTTTTGAACGTCTCCAGAAACATAGACTCCACCACCCTCTCTGGGCAGCTTGTTCCAGGGCTCTTCCACCCTCACAGGAAAGAAGTTCCTCCTCATATTGAGAAGGAATTTCCTGTGTTGTGTCCATTACTCCTTGTCCTGTCACTGGGCACCACTGAGAAAAGTTTGACCCCCTCTTCTTGCCACCCACCCTTTAGATATTGATCAGCATTGATGAGATCCCCTCTCAGTCTTCTCTTCTCCAGATTAGACAGCCCCAAATCCCTCAGCCTTTCCTCATCAGATGGATGTTCCAGTCCCTCAGTTGTCTTTGTAGCTCCCATTGTACTTTCTCCCAGTAGTTCCTTGTCCTTCTTGAACTGGGAAGCCCAAAACTGGACACAGTGCTCCAGATGTAGTTTCACTGGGGCAAAGCAGAGGGAGAGACTGACCATCCTCATCCTGCTGCTCACACTCTTCCTAATGCACCCCAGGAAGCCGTTGGCCTTCTTGGCTACAAGCGCATATTGCTGACTTATGGTCAACTTGTCCACCAGGACTCCCAAGTCCCTCTCTCCAGAGCCACTCTCCAGCAGGCAGCCCCCAACCTGTCCTGGGGCAAGGGATTGTTCCTCCCCAGGTGCAGGACCCTCCACTTGTTGAACTTCATTAGGTTTCTTTCCGTCCAACTCTCCAGGTCTTGCTGGATGGCAGCACAGCCTTCTGGTGTGTCAGCCACCCCTCCCAGTTTTGTGTCATCAGCAAACTTGCTGAGGGTACACTCTGTCCCCTCGCCCGGGTTGTTGATGAATAAATCAAACATTATACGTTGTCCTCCCTCGGTTGCCCTGTGAGGGTGGAAGATGAACAGCCCCGTGTAACCATATGCCTTGTCGTAGGAGACAGGAGAAGGGCTCTGAGCTTCTGTGGCATCTGTGAGGAGGAACAGATCCACACCCAGAACACTTGGGTTTCCACCTCAAGTGTGACCATTCAGCTGTGGCTGCAGTGAAACACGAGTATTTTAACATTAGGAATTATTTCTGATGAGGAAACGTAGGATTCCTGATGAGACCTCATTTCTCAACGATCTATTCCCTTTTCATCTATTAAAAAAACCCACGGAATTTGAGGGAATTTTGGCATCGTTTTGCTGGGGAGGGTTAACAGGAGCTTCTGGAGGTCAGACCATTTCGAACTGGAGTTTCTGTGTTGCTCTTCGGTGCCTTTTTGGGTGGTGGCACATGCAGTCTGTGCAGGAGGAAGAGCCCATGATCTAACTGTGGTGGGGACCTAGTTCCTGGCAATAACTCTATTTTGGCTTCTTCGAAAGAGTGACTCATAAATTTCTGGCGTACTTGCAGGCCTAAAATAAAGAAGCGACCATTTGAATATCTATTTCCTCTTTTATTCAGAAAAAAAAATAAATAAATGAGTGATGCCTGCAGATGCTGTCAGTCATTCTGAAAAAGAAAACAGTCGCGATGAGATGAATCAACTGGGAGGTGGGAGCAGCAATTCCTGAAAATGACAGTGTCCTGCTGCTGAAAGACACCACGGCAGCGTTAAAGCAAATAATTGGGTTTGAGATCTTTGTTGACTCTGTGGGGCAGCGTCAGGAGTCCCAGCTGCTGCCTGGAGTGTACAAACACAGCCTACGTACGCCGGATGGCATAGGACCCGCGGGCTCCCTCCCCTTTTCCTGCCCATCTGTGAATCACGGGGACAGCAGATGACACAGAAATAGGTGGAAACCCTGAGTTTCTCCTATTTCCTTATAATATGGCGTGGCTTGGTTTTCCTTTGGCTTCCTAAAGGAATGAGGCTTGTGATTGTACAATTTCTGGCTGGCTGGCTGGCCCTTCAATTAACTTTTGAAGCCATTAGCCAGTTTCAGCCCAATTTGACAGCAAGCTAGTGGTTTCACAGACTCCTTTCTCTGATTTTCTAGAAAATCAGAGGACACTCTGATTTTCTGCTGGAGGACACTCTTCCTCTCCTGCTCATGAGAACATCTAAAGGGTGAACTGTCCCCTTAGCTGCTACGGAGAGAGTCCAGATGGGAAGAAGTCACCAGTGGATCAAGGTAATTTTGAATAAATATTTACATTTAGATAGACCTCAAAGCCAAATCATGAAGTCCAAGGCTGGCTGATGCCCAGCAGGATGGTTCTTTCATCGTCATGGCTGTTGGGAACAGATTAAAGCAGGTCTAAAAGGTAAAATGCAAGCACATGGAAATTGGGGTGCCTTTTGGGAGGGTGCTGTTCCTCTGCTGCAGAGTCTTTGGACAGACATGTCCAGAAGGGAGAGGAGCAACTGCAGAAATCAAGAGGAACTATGGGCAAGTGGGTTCAGCAGGGGGAGGAGGCAAGATGGGCTTCTGTCACAGCGGGATCCTGGCATAGTTTTATGTCAAGATGAAGTTTCCCTTCCCAGGTGCTGCTTCCAGGAATGAAGCAGAGCAGGACTGTCCCTGACTGATGTTTTTTGTACAAGTCTACACCAAGAAATTGCCTAGTTTTGACCAGAAATGAGCCTGAACCAGAAGCCTCCTTAGATGCAGCATCATCAAGCCAATCTGGAGGGCCACACAGGCCCCAGCATCTGTTGTTTGAGGAACTTCTCATATGTGGTGGTAAAATATTAAGTTCAGAGCCATTTGGCTTGGGAGGTGTTGGCTCAGGACCTTACTGAAAGAGACAGAGGGGAAAGAGAACTTATGGGGCTTGCTTGACCTCTTAATAGCCCATTATATTGGGTTATTCTTGCTGGTATGCCCATTAAAAAACGCAAAGCTCTTTTTAAAGTTGTCACAATCAGAGAATGAAAAGTTTATGTAAAGACTTCTGGGCACCTGAGAAGGGGTGGGAGCAGGCAGATATCTCAGAAGTGGCTGCTGCCTCCACAAACATTGAGCCTTTCTGGTTTAATCCGGGTAGACAGAAAGAGGTTCATCCCCACTAATGTCTGATCTACTCACTTTTCTGTAAAGGAGCATCAAAACAAATAGCAAAGAAGAGCATGAAATGCAAAGTCAGGAACTTCCTGACCCGAAGGTCTACCATATTCTACAACAATGTCACAAGGTGTATGTCATCCCCCATAAAGCTCTCTTGCCACATCCTAAAAAAACACAGAATCACAGAATGATATGGGGTTGGAAGGGACCTCTGGAGATCATCTAGATCAACCCTCTGCCAAAGCAGGGTCACCCAGAGCAGGTCCCACAGGAACGTGTCCAGGTGGGTTTTGAATGTCTCCAGAGAAGGAGACTCCACCACCTCTCTGGGCAGCCTGTTCCAGGGCTCTGTCACCCTCAAAGCAAAACTCAGGATCTTAAAGCAAAAATTTTGCCCTGTCTTTCAACAATCGGGGAAGGTCTTAAAAACTATCACAGCAAGTACCATCTCCAGCTCTATACAAATGCAGGAATGACATGTGTGTGGTTTCTCTAAGAAAGTGTAAAGTCTCTCATCTGCTTTCCAAGTCTGTGGGTGAGAGGCAGATTGAGGTTAGCTGCAGAGGATTATTCCTCCCAGAGAAAAAGCTGATTGAGTCTTCTCCCTCAAAATCTTCTTTCTTATCTTTGCAGCATATGCTTATCTAGAGAGGCCAGCACATTTTTTTAGCCTACTGATCTGTTAACAGTCTTCTGTCTCTTTCAGGAAATCCTGAGCAATTCTCAGCTTCACGACATGTCGATTAGTGATGTGCTTCTTCTTGAGTTTCTTAGAAAAATGCGGCGTATTTTCACCTCTGGTATTTCCTCACGGTGTATTCGTGCAGTGTACACCTCCTGCTAAGCCCAATTAAGATTTCCAGTTCCACATTTCACAGAATCACAGGATCACAGAATGATTTGGGGTTGGAAGGAACCTCTGGAGATCATCTAGTCCAACTCCCCTGCCAGAGCAGGTCCACCCAGAGCAGGTTGCACAGGAATGTGTCCAGGTGGGTTTGGAATGTCTCCAGAGAGCCTCTTCCAGGGCTCTGCCACCCTCAAAAGAAAGAAGTTCCTCATCATGGTTAGATGGAACTTCCTCTGTTCAAGTTTGTGCCCATTTCCTCTTGTCCTGTCACTGGGCACCACTGAAAAAAGACTGGCCCCGTCCTCCTGACACCCACCCTTGAAGGATTTAGAGGTGTTGATCAGATCCCCCCTCAGTCTTCTCTTCTCCAGACTAAAAAGACCCAAGTCCCTCAGCCTTTCCTTGTAGGAGAGACGCTCCAGGCCTCTCATCCTCTTTGTAGCCTCTGCTGTCCCCTCTCCAGCAGTTCCCTGTCCTTCTGGAACTGGGGAGCCCAGAATTGAACCCCGTGCTCCAGATGGGGCCTCCCCAGGGCAGAGCAGATGGGCAGGATAACCTCCCTCGAAATTGATTAATTATTGTGTTTGGTGGGTTTTTCTGGCTTCTTTGACTTCTTGCAGCTTCCTAAGAAACCAACTTTTTGTTGATGTTGTGATGACAAACATTTACATTAGTTCTAGTGGCATTGGGAAATCAGACCCGACGCTGTTAAAACAACCAACCAACACTTTACAAATGCCTCTAACAAACCCCAGCTTGTTTTATGGTAATGGTGTAAAACCACACACCACACGGGAAGCTACAAAGTCCGCTCAGGAAATGAGTCAAAGATGACAAGAATGTGACAAAGTGCAGATGAGCTTTTTCAGTGGCAAGCAAGTGATTTTTTTTCAAGCCTTTTTGCCAGTTCTCCTTCTCCTCCCCCATTCCTCCCCCCCCTTTTTTTAAAATCATTAATGAGGTAGTTATTAAAAATTAATAGCTGTGCTGCCTACCCTATATTTTTGCAATGTAAACCTGGTGGTCTCTGAAGACGGAGTCTAAACATTAATTACTAGTCCTTACCAGGCACAAGAATGGACCTGAGAGGTACAAGCTCTCTCTATAACCAAAATGTTACTGTTTGGTCATGGGAAAATGAGACTTTGTGTTCAAGACCATGCAGATCTTCTAACAGAGTAACTTTTCTCTTCTCTTGCAGTAATCAGTCGTTTAGTAATTAAATGGAGGGAGAATTTGCAATTGAGCTGATTTCGGCTTGGGTGAGGCGAAAATTGGTCGTGCCACTCGAATTTCAGACTGTCTGCAGATGCAGGCACATGGTTCTGTTCAGCCAAGTGATTTTTAGAGTGGATTATTTTCTCATAGATGGAAATGGAGATTGTATCCATGATCCTCCTCCGCAACCACTTCTTTGACTGTGCTTTTTTCCAACCTCTAATCTGCATGGAATGCTGCATGCTCCCTGCAGGAGAGCCAGGTGAGGCTGAAGAGGTGCTGACTGGTCTCAAAGAACAAAGTCTCTCCTGCCATGAGCCATATCAGCCCATTCAGTGATGCTTCATCTCCTCCATCAGGCAGGTGTTGGACCTTTTGGAGCGATACCAGAGGAGGCCACGGAGATGCTGGGAGGACTGGAGCCCCTCTGCTGGGAGGGGGGGCTGAGAGAGTTGGGAGGGTTCAGCTTGGAGAAGAGAAGGCTCCGGTAGGAGACCTTAGAGCCCCTTCCAGTCCCTCAAGGGGCTCCAGGAAATCTGGGGAGGGACTCTTGATCAGGGAGGGGAGCCACAGGATGATGGGGAAGGGTTTTAAACTGGAAGAGCGGAGATTGAGATGAGATCTCAGGAAGAAATTTTTCACTCTGAGGGGGGGGGTTACTGGCCCAGGTTGCCCAGAGAAGCTGTGGCTGCCCCATCCCTGGAGGGGTTCAAGGCCAGGTTGGAGGGGGCTTGGAGCAACCTGCTCTGGTGGGAGGTGTCCCTGCCCAGTGCAGGGGGGTGGCACTAGATGATCTTCGAGGTCCCTTCCAACCCAAGCCACTCTATGATTCTATGTTATAAACCAGTAATATTCATATTTTACAGAGCAGAGCGCTGAGGCAGTGAGTACTTTGCTGGAGGCCAGATAAGGAATTGAGTAAAATTAAAATGCAATTGTTCTGAGCCTTCTGCTTTCAGGTGGTGTGTGTACAGGGACATGTTTTGAAATAGAAACAGCAACTCCTGATCTTATCAAACTGAGGCAGGCTCTGCATTTATCTCTTTACATTATTGCCTGTATCATAACCTCATTACCTATAGCTGATTAGCCCTCAGCACTGTCTGAAGTGCAGCTGACATCATATGCAGATCTGCGGGGTGTTTCCACCTCTACCTGGCACTACCTGGTGTCCTCCTGCACTAAGATGATGAGCTTATCCACTTCTTAAATTCATCTCTGGACCCACCTTGGGGCAAGAGGTGAGAGAATTTCCATGGGTTTTCAGCATCATTTCCACCCCTCTTCTCTGTGTTCCTCTTATGGTGCTGGGACACCAGCTCTTCAGATCTTTAAATTGGGAATGGAAACCCTGAAGGATGTAAACCCCATTCTTTCATCCTGTCTTTGAGGCTGGCAGGAATGGCTGCAACATATGGACATAAAAGATAATATCTCACGTTTTGAGACATCCCATCCTGGACTAATCCCTGTGTTTCAGTTGACAGGGTGTAGCAATCGTAGTTTTTATGAAATTAGTGCTAGAAATGCTTGATTTTCTTACTACAGGAAGGTGGCAGCTGGTCCACCACTGTGCTGACCAGAAGTTTCCCACTGGAGTTATTTGATTTCATCCTCCTGCAATGGAAAAATTGGTTTCCTTCAAAATTAATATTTTCAGGAGAAAAATGTCCACTGCTGGAAAACATTGATTTTTTCCCTCAACGTGGGGAACAAACACAGGGTGGACTTTTATTTCAGAAGCGTAGTCACTGCGGTACGGTAAGAAGCAATAGAATTTTACTTTTTTTTTTAATAAGAATGTAATTTTATTATTTTTTTTAAATGTGGTTTTGTCCTTTATCCTGCTGTGGGGGGGAAGCGGGTGTTCTTCAGCTGGCTGTGTACCTTAGAGCACTGAGAAACTCCGAATGCAGAACACAGAACAGGAGGAGAATTCCAAATACCTGGCAGGAAGGTGAAGTGAGGGAATCCTCCGGGATCTCTCCTCCTTGGAGCAGCTCCCCTTGCAGATCTTCTCCTGCAGAGACTGTTTGGGGTGAGGTTGTGGGTTGTGTCTCTGTTTTTAATCCATTTCTTCTGACTCCTTGATTTCTTCCTCCAGCATTTTGGGAAGAATATCTGGGAAAGACCACAAGTCAGATACGGAAGAAAGCCTCCTCTTTCAAGAGCTGGATGTAAATGAGAAAGGTTAATAATATTATCACATGGCAGTTGTCCAAGCTGTTGACAAAGCTTGGCTCCGCTACTGAAATCAAGACATCAGTGTTTGGAGTGTGTGGCACCTTTCTGAGAGTTCAGGAAGCGCAGATTCATAGAATCATAGGATCATAGATATCATAAAATCATAGATTAAAGTGGCATTTCTCAAACCAGCACACAAATTTGACTCCTTGCCCACGCAGGCGCTGGCCCGCAGGTCCCGTTTCTCTTTGGGTAAGGCAAAACAAACATAGAGGCACCAAGGCCTCTTCCAAAGTCCTCGTAAATATCAGCTGCCTAAATAATTTGCTGGGAATTAGGACAACTTCGTGTTTCTGGATGTGTCTGCAGGACTGTGGGAACCTGGCACGCAGGAGAAGAAAATCCGGGGATGAACGGCAGATAACTGGGTTCTTTCTCCTCATTTCTAATGCAAAGAACAATAATTTAGATGGTTTCATCAGCGTGACCAAGCCTGGTAACGTGGCTGTTTCCTGCAGGTTCTGCTGCTGCCTCCGTCTGCGCGTGGTTATTTTGGAAGCTTTAAAATAAAGACTGCAGGTTCTGCTGCTGCCTCATCTGCACGTGGTTATTTTGGAAGCTTTAAAATAAAGATTTTAAGGAATGCATCTCACCCTAACTCCTACCCTGGGACAGGAGAGAGCTGGGGTAGACAGTAGAGAAGGAGTAGAGAAGGGTTGTGCTCTCCTGAGTGACTCAAGTGGGAATCAAGAGGTTCAGGCTGTAGTTTTAGCCTTGCAGTGATTTATTTTTGTAACCTGTAGCAAATAATAATAATAATAAGCTTTTCGCTGTCTTAATTACTTATAAATTTTGCAGAGCAGCCGTTGACAACAGGACTGGGGTGGTGATTGTCCCCCTGTACTGGGCACTGGTGAGGCCCCATCTTGTGTCTAGTTTTGGGCCCCTCAGGACAGGAAAGACGTTGAGGGGCTGGAGCGTGTCCAGAGAAGGGCAACAGAGCTGGTGAGGGGTCTGGAGAACAAGGAGAAGGGTCTGGAGAACTTCTGAGGGAGCTGGGGGTGTTCAGCCTGGAGAAAAGGAGGCTGAGGGGAGACCTTCTCGCTCTCTCCAACTCCCTGAAAGGAGGGTGTAGCCAGGGGGGGTTGGTCTCTTCTCCCAAGGAACCAGGATGGGACAAGAGGAAATGGCCTCAAGTTGCACCAGGGGAGGTTTAGGATGGAGATTGGGAAAAATGTTTACACTGAAAGGGTTTATCAAGCCTTGGCAGAGGCTGCCCAGGGAAGTGGTGGAGTCACCATCCCTGGTATTTAAAAGATGGGTGGCTGTGGTGCTGAGGGACATGTGTTAGTGATGGTTTTTGTCAGCGTTGTGTTGATGGTTGGACTCCATGACCTGAAAGGTCCCTTTCCAACCCAGACAACTCTATGATTCTATGATTCTATACCAGCACCCCTTCCACTCCACCCACCCACCCCTCCCTACCCGCACCATTGCCCCCAGTACCCCCTCACC